TCTATTTTTTCACAAAACTTTTAATATTGTGATACCTTGATACTTGTCTTTTTCATCCGCTACTCCGCTTTTATAATTATAATAACTTTCAAACTATTGCACGTACCAATAAAATCCTTTGTACTATTTGCCCATGAAACATAATGTTTCATCAGGCATGTTTTTAATCATAAATTCTATTTTTCTTGAAGGTTTTGAAAAAATTTTTTTCATTCTTTTCTCAATTGTTTATTTAAAAAAAAATGTTATAAACCTGCAGAAGTATTTTCCTCTCAATGGAAAACAGCTAAGTCCCATACCTGAAGTAAGTAAATAACGTCTCAGAAATATCAGATCTTTGACCAATTTGTATCCTCTCTACCCTCCATAAACTCTCAGAATTTTGGTTTTGATAATATTTCATTATCGCCAGTTAAGAATTACTAAAAAATTGTTCACAATATATACATCTACTGAGACCCCAAGGTTTGATACTTGGTCCCCTCCTCTTTTCAATATACATATATGGGGATTTTGTTGAGAACTGTTCCATACAACAATATGCTGATGATACTTAGTTGTATTGCAGAAAATTGATACAAATAATGATGATTCAAAGAAGTTATTTGACATTTATTCCCCGCATAATGTCGAGTTGAAGGCTCCCGTGTCCAAAGTAATTTCCGATAAAGTTTTCAATAAAGTGTTCTGAGATAAGTGGTGATGTATATTACAGCAGACAGTGGTCCAAAAATGCACCCTTGTGGAATACCAATAGTAACCAGTGCCTGAGATATTGTTTTCGGTCTATCTTAATTTCTTTTCAAAAAAATTGCATCCAATAGTAATATACATTTCAGAATATATACCTTCAGTTGTAATTGTCTTCACATTTATGTTTTATAATCTTGAAATTATTCAGTAGATGGTTTTGTAATATCATATTACTGTCATTTATTATTATACGATAGGGATATTTAGTAATATTTACTCTAGAGGCTGATAAACAGACTAACGGTTATTCACAAACGTTGAGATGAAGTCATTGCGGTTTACATTGTATCTCTCCTTTACCATCTTTATACAAAAATTAAACTCCCCAAAAAATATGTCACTTTCAATCTGAACAAAATTTCACTTCGAAAAAAAGATTTCGTCAATTAGACTATACCCTTCACAAACAAAATTGACGTGTTTTTGTATTTTAACGGAAAGTTTGATCCCTGTCAGTTTCGCCTTAAGCCGGTGACATACGTCGCGATTTCCGAGCGGTTCTTTCCAGCGCGGTTTCCGAGCGGAAATTGCTGGGTGAAAATCGCTACAGTGAGTACCTACCTGACAGTGTCCGCGATTTCCGAGCGATTTTCTGACATTCCGGGTTTCTAACTGAAGGGGAAATACATAAAAACAAAATACATATTTGTAGTACATTCTCGCTTTTGTCTCACAAACAAGGGTGATTTGTTACGCTACGAATTAAAGTTTTCACTTCGATGCTCGAAACGCAACTGAAAAATAGCCAACACCGTCAGGCCCCATTTGCTTACCTAGGTCCTACTTATACTTGGTCGCCCTTGCCCTCCGATTGTCGCTCGGAATCCGAGGAGCTATAAAAAATCGCTGCTGTTCGTTCAGTATTGTCTGAGAGGCTCTACTCATTAGATTATGATAATACGACCAGCTATCGAAATCGCTCGCATATAATTGAATAGAAGTTATAAATCTTCAAATCCTTTTTGTGACTTACATTAATATTAATATATATACATATATATATATATATATATATATATATATATATATATATATATATATATATATATATATATATATANNCAAAAAGTTACTGCATTTGATAAATTAGGTTTTTGGAAAAAAAATCAAATTTTTCATTAACTTGAATTCAAAAAATTTTGCATATTAAAAGAATTATGTATCATCTGGTGACGTTTTGAAGACTCTATCCATTTTCTTTATCCCACCTATTCATATCAGAACATTATGGTTTGTAGTAGTTTGTAGTTCTTAAAGAATTATATACATCCATAACAATTGTTTTTTCATTTATATTCAGTGGTGACAATTTCGGACGTTTCTCGATTCCCGAACAACTAGCTTCCATGTTGTATAGCTGTTTATTCAACGCGCTCTTGAAGTAAACTGAAGAATATCACGAATAACCCCGCTCAAAAGCCAACTCGGTCTTGTTGAAGGATGCGATGTGTCTGTTGACAGTATAATTCAAAGGAATATCTATTTATACCGCCTTCAAAAAACAATATTTTTTCGATCCCCTTTAACTAAATACCTATTTGTTGGAGAATGTATTGGTTACTACTGGACATATTTTAACATTTGTCATACTGGATTTGTTTTTTTTTTGTTATGAATGATATTTTTCGTCATATAAAGTCATTTATTCAATCCGTTGACAGTAAATAATTTGAACGGATAATAGAAATCGCAAACACTGTCATGTTCCATTCAAATGCAGGGGTTGGCTTGAAAATAAAAAACCGCGGTGGAAAAACCGCTCAAAAATCGCAAAGTATATCACCGGCCTTACAGTTTATTTTCGAAGAACTACTCCGAATGCTAAAACAACTTATTTCAACGTACACTATCAGCTTCATCATGTTCACAACAAAAAATATCACATCGCCTCCTTATCTCCCTATAATTACCAGAACGCTACGCATAAATAACTCACAATCTCGAAATCGGGAATAAAAATAACCTCAGACAAATTCGAAAATTCCCCAAGCCCGCTCGCATGCCAGACCTTCTCCTCACACCTCCTGCATCCATACATCAACGCCTAATTGGCAGGAAGCGTAGCAGAAGACAAAGTGACACTAAACGTTGTCTAATTACTTAGCAGTCAACTCTTGCTCTGTTGTGCTATTTAAAACCTATTTGCATGCAATTGTTTCGGTTTTTTCGGAGAGGTCTTGGCAACCGATACGAGCGATGATTGAGGTATTTCTTTGGAGTTTTCTTTGTCGTTTGTAACTTCTGGGCATGAAAATATCGATGATTAATATTCTTTGAGGTGTAATAGCATTTTTGAGTCAATACGGAATTGAAAATTATTATTGAAAGACAATGATAACATATTAGGTTTTTTTTAAAAATGTTGTCCGTTTTTACACGCTTTATATTAGCTTCCCCTGTATGTATGTATGTTTGTTTGTAACTCTCAAGCTCTGGATCTGTATTTGACAGGATTATCGACATTATTGCTTCATCTAATCGCGGGCAGATAGCGTTGTATGTAACCTCCTTGATATATTGACATTATTGATTGATCTATTCGCGGACAGATGGCGCTGTCCGTAACCTCCTTGATATAATTCGAACTCACTCAATGGTCATTTTTCTAAACAATATACGGCTGATTGATCCCAAAGTTCAGATAAAATAAATATAGTTCAAAAAGGCTAAAAAACACACTTTTATAGCATACGAAACTGAAAAATCAATATAGTTTAAAAAACTAAAAAAACACGCTTTTAAAGAACATCGAACTAAAAAGTTGAAAAAAACTTTCAAATAAGCTTAGATTTAGTGAAGGGGCTGCAAATCTATTGAAAAGTGACCTCAGAAATCGGACTCAGTCAATATTTCTGGATGGAAAGTGTTCTAGTGCTTCACCTGTTAACTATAGAGTACCTCAGGGCTCTATCCTTGGCACCATTCTGTTCTCTCTATATGTATCTGATTTTCATAAGATAATTGATCATTACACAGTTCATCATTATGCAGATGACACTCAGTTCCCTCTCGATCCCCTATTTCATGTTATGCTTTGCTATGTTGTGTATGTTTTGCTATATACTTTACCTCTGTTAAGCTAAATAGATTTTCAATATTTACTTTTACATAGCCTTTGTTTTTATTTCTTAGTTTTACAAAGGTTCATGAACTACTCACTTATCAATGTATAGGTAATTAATTTTATATTTCTATATAATACATGCTATCCTGTATATAGGTCAATTTGTAAAACAGCATCGGCTGAACTTCGCCCTTTCATTGATTTTTGTATCTACTTCTTCTTTATAAACAATGTATATCGATGAATAAAGTCCATTTATTATTATTATTATGGCCATGGTGGTAGTGCGCCCGACTCACGTGGGTTCCCGCCGTGGGTTCCCGCCTCGACCAGATATTTTTCTCAGGAGAATTCATCTGGTTAACGTGTTAGGAATCACACGTTAAAAGGTGAGACCTCGTTAGTCCTCAGCTCGCTCAAGTTTGTCAACTTCTGAGAGTTGTCGTTCGTATGGGGGCGACAGCTGATTAACGGAAAAACAGATTTTTTTTAAGAGATTATACGCGACGGACTGTGACTGCTCATCGTTTTGAGGTTCAACTCAGTACACCTCGAAATTCACTGTTCAAGAACTCTTTCATGTGGAGAACTGCGTTTATGTGGAATAAACT